ACTCTATACATCAATCAATCAATCAATCAATCAAGGTTTATTTGTATAGCACTATGTTAAAATAGTGGATGTTAAATAGTTTTGTACAATAAGTCCAAACAAGTTTAACCAAAAAATATTTATTTCTCACAATTATGAAGGGTGGAGGGTTAGGGTTAGGGTCAGGGTTAGGGTTAGGGTCAGGTTTAAAGGTCTGTTTAAAAAGTTCAAACGAAAAATTAAGAAGGAATTAGATTAAATTAGCCCTTAAATATTTTACATTTCCCATATTTTGAAGGTGGGATTCACGTGATTGATGACAGACTTTGAGTTCTGTTCAGCCTGAGGACCCTGGGGAGCATTTCACAGGTTCAGGTTTGATAATTCACTTTTAAAGTTTAGGAATTATTTATTCGGTTTCATTGAAGTACGTTAAAAAAAAAATGTAAAAAAAAGAAAAGAAAAAAACTTTCACTCTGAAAGCATTGCATCATTAACCCTTTAAAGAATATTGGATTTTTTTAGTCTGAAGTCTTTCTTTGGCCCCTCATCAACATATGAAGAAAGAAAAAACAGAAATGATTTTGATCAAATTAGTGTGCAATAAGTCAAAAATATATGTTTGTGTAGTCTTCTACTGGCTGTTATCAGGTATATCTGAATGTGTACAACAGGGGTTTGAGCAAAGCTTTTACCACTGAATGATGCAGAAAGTCTCAGATCCAAAAGACTTCAGAAACCGTATCAAATATGACACATTTGGCATTATAGGGTTAAGACCCCCAAAACAGCTTTAAAAGCCCCCCAGAAAACAGTTTTAAAAGCCCAAAACAGCTTTAACCCTTTTAAGCCTGATCCAAGAAAAATAGGAAGAATATTGGATTTTTTTAGTCTGAAGTCTTTCTTTGGCCCCTCAACAACATATGAAGAAAAAAAAAAACAGAAATTATTTTGATCAAATTAACGTGCAGATCCAAAAGACTTCAGAAACCTCATGAATCAAATATGACACATTTTGCATTATAGGGTTAAGGCCCCCAAAACAGCTTTAAAAGCCTTAAAAACGGCTTCAAAAGCCCTAAAAACATCTTTGAAAGCCTTAAAAACAGCTTTAAAAGCCCCCCAAAACAGCTTTAAAAGCCCTAAAAAACAGCTTTAACCCTTTAAAGCCTGATCCAAGAAAAATAGGAAGAATAATGGATTTTTTTTAGTCTGAAGTCTTTCTTTGGCCCCTCAACAACATATGAAG